GTAGTAACCCACTGAACCAGAATAAATACTGTAAAACATTTAAAAATTCCTTGACCAAGGGTTTTTTATCACAGCACAGATGAATATGAAAATCACCAACAATTAAAAACGAATCAGATTTAAGTGCTATGCCTGCCACAAAGTCAGAGAACTCTTTGATGAAGTTTCTGTTTATCTTTGGAGGCCGGTAGATGAGTGCACAGAGCACTGGTGGAGCCAGACGCAGCTCAAAAAGCTGATAGTCAAAAGCTGTAAAGTACTCCGTCTGAGGCACTATGTTGCTGCGAAAATTATTATTACAAATAGTAACCAAACCTCCACCCCTACCAGAGATCCGAGGGGTGTTAAAGAAGGATCAGTTTGTAGGGACAAGTTCAGAGAGACATAGACTCACCGCTCCGGATCCAGGACTCCGTCAAAAACATAAGATCAAGCTGATGGGTCTTAAAAAAAGTCAGTCAATAAAAACGTTTTGTTTACCAGCGATCTGGCATTTAGTAGAGCCATCCGGATGGTAACATCCACATTTAAATCCCGAGTACGAGGCAAGGAGCGAAGGTTGGAAAAATCCACGCTGTGTCTACTGTGACGTGGCAGCTTGGAGCGATGAGTGACAATCAGCTGGTCCGCCAGCTGGTAGTCGTCAGGCGTAACTGAGCAGATCCATTGAAAGGTAAAATCCAACATGCCCGAAGTTCCATCGGTGGCAAGTCGATTGGTTCTTAGTCTCACCAGCAGGCCAGCACGCATTTCCTAGGAGGCCTTTTCCACGGAGGACAAGGGATGAGACGTGGCTGGTTAGGTGCAGCAGTGACAGGTGGAGGAGGAACGTTGGAAGACTGTCCTCCCGCTGAACGAGTGTTCCAAAGAAGCTCGTAAGACGCCTTGATCTTGAAAAGTGACTGGCAATTGTAGACAATAAGACTTGAGACATCTCGAAACAGTAGAAATATACACATACAGAAATAAACAAAAGCAAAATGCTGAGAGACGTGTCGCAGTGCACACTGCTGGCGCCACCATCTTCCAGATACATTCAGGTACTTGTGTATATAGGAAACTTTTTATTGATTGGCTTAATGAACAGACCTGTATTGGAATGTTTACTGCGTTAAGTGCCTTGAGATGACTCTTGTCATGATTTGGCGCTGTAACGTGAAGAAGGAGCAATTTCTACCCTCCAACAGCTGTTTCCTTTTGACACAGTGTCAGTGTGCATGACACAGCCTCAAGGTCATGCATTCGCTTCTAAACTGTTTACGTTCCAGCAATGAAGACAGAAGAACGAAGAATGAACTCTTTTCTTTTAATTAATCAAATAACTCTATTTTAATAAAGCTAATCCATCAAAGTGGTAGTCAATAAGATGTGACCGACCTGTGAAATTAAAAGATTACTTATTTTATTATGATCTTAGAAATGAAGTACTGTAACTTTAAATGTTCCAACAGGACCCATTTCATGTAGTGTTAAAAAGACATTACACATTCTTTCACTGATCCAATCAGAATTTTACAGATCTGACGGAGGCGTGCTTCTGACGGTGTTTGGTAATTTTCATTCGACAATAAACCATAACATGCGAGGTATTAAACTATGCCACGTCAGCTCTAACGCCAGTTCAAAGCGTTCCAGAGCAAGCAACGGAGTGGCCAATCCGACCTTTAACTCTTCAACCGAAAGAACCATGACAAGCTGAGAAAATCCAGTCACTATAACAACCAGCGACAAAAACAGCTCCTTTCAGAATAAAAGCTCCACCGACCCAGGCTGGGTCTGAACAGACGCCAGGAAAAGAGTTGTGTGCCGGAGGTAACTCGAGACGGGTCTGGTCGGAACCGCAGCTTCTTCTACCAGCTCGGTGTCCAGAGAGGGTCTGCTGGGACTCGACATTCCTGATCTTACCAGAGGACTTCCACAAGGCAGGTAGAACGGCTTGATGGTGTCTCATGCGGTTCTGAAACTAACCCAAGCTTATTCCAAAACAACATCTTCAGTTCCCGTCAGAACTAATCGCTTCTTCGGATTTGCTGGTTCTGATTTACATGACACGTCGTCCATTCACCGTCTCATCCATTTTTAGCTACACTATACTTAGTTCTGAAATCAGCCTAGTTTAATTGTTAGTAATAAAATTCTTAACTTTTAAACTTGACTCTCTCTATTCTGTTGTCTCTGAGTGAATACATAACGGTTACCTAATCTCTGCATTAAAAAGATCTGATCTTCTGGTTTTACTAACCCACTGAACCATAAGGTGGATTTCATATTTACTATGGAATCCCACACCTTACGGCTCATTAATTAAAATGTAAGAACCTCTCATTTTCCTTACAGCGCTATATAAATAAACTTGAATTGAATGAAATTGCTTGGTGTATTGAAGTTATACAACATAGTTTTATTAATGTTTATTATTTGAATCATGACATTGACCTTAGTGAACCTCTGATTGATCTAAAAAGAGAAGACTGTGATAAACTTCATTTTTTACCCCATCACAGTTAACTCTGACACAGGACAAGCTTGTTGTCCGTCATTTTCCAACTCCTCGAGGCCTGATCAGACAGCAGCCAAGGAAGGTGTGGATGAAAATGATGAAAGAGGAGGCAAAATAAACTGAAGGGAAATGTGCAGAGACCAGTCAGACCCCCAGCGAGTGTTGATATATTAGCCTAACCTTCACAGCAAGACTTCACACTCTATGTTTCTTTCTGCTGTGCTCTCATTATTGTGCGTCAACTGGTGTCTGGAGTCATTGTGCTCTAGGAAATATTACAACTAGTTTTAATCCCTGAACAATTTAAATCCATCTGTTGTTTTCAGATGCCACCCTAGGCTTGATTAGAAATTTCATAAACACACTTGTTTGCGGGGCTGTGAAACCAGACTCATTCTAGAACTCTCCCTTTGATTAAGCTTTAGTGACATGAGAATTAAAAGGGTCCTCCTCTGCAGAGGTATTTTGCTGATGCATGTGCACACTGTAATTGCAGCAAGCATGGGTGCACCTTACTCATGTAACATATATACAGTCCTAGGCTAAAGGTATCAGGTGTGCAAGAAAAAAATAAACATAAAAGGTGATGTTGCAGAGAAACTAAGGCCCACTTGCTCTCATTGACATTTTCGGAATTTCTTGCAGTGCGATAGCAATCACTACACTGCTATCCTTAGCGCTCACCAAAATGGGGTTATCCTTGTATTTTATTTATCCCTAAGGTTCTTCATGCGCCCTTAGTTCCTAATAAGATGTAACTTATATCTAAACTCAAGCTATTTCCTGATCCATTGCAGCTATGTGGGAGAAGAGGGCACCATCTTAGCATGATGCTGATAGTGATGGGGACTTGGCCTTGGCAAGAGGCTGGCGTTGGCTGTCCTATTTCAAACTCTTAATGACCAAGCCAAACATCAGTGCACAGGCTTCACTTCATGTGTCATTCAGAGAATCAGATAGAGCTTTATTGCCAGCGCTCCAGCGAACCTGAGCATAGGAACTTGACTTCACAGAACAGCCTGACCAAGGTTACACACACACACACATAGACAGATGTAACGTGAGGAAATATGGGTTTTCTGTCACAATGGTGGTGTTGGACGCAGCTGGGTCATAGCTGGGTCGCTGAGAACTTTCACCCACAGATTAAGACCTGAACGCCAGCGAGTCGGGGAGGAAACCATAACATCTGCCACCTGCAGTCTACCAGAAGATGTGTTTACATGAGTTGTACCCAGTCCAAGTCAAAACATAAAGTTTAAACTTCTTTTTCTTGATTTTAATGTTAAAATAACCATTATCATTTTGCTCATTATAAATGTGTTTAATCAAATGAATGACTAGTATGCTTTGGGGTAATTATAATGGATTAATGAATCCACACTTAAGTAGATAATGTTGAATGTGTGGTACTGACCTTCACACTCAAGCACACAAACATTCACACACACCCACACACATCTGCCCACAGTAAAGTCCAGACACATTTGATGACGCACATGTTTTGCTTTGAGAAGAGAGGTTTTTGGTAAGTTTTCAGTTTTATGGAGTTCGTGTTGGACAACGGGAGAGAACAGACCTGAAAACCAAAGGGGGGGGCAGAGCCTGTTGGCTCGTTCTTCCCCCCTTTCACGCTGTTTCTGCCAAGCCAGGCAGAATAGCTGAATCGCGACTTCTAACGAAGACTCATTACCGAGTCTTTTGATTTCTGAGTGAATTAACTTAAGAAAGCGCATCGATAAAACGCTCTACCATCCACGTGTACCGAGGGCAACTCTGGACCGGTTCCGTTCGACACCTACGTCTCCTGTCAGCCGCCGGTGTCATCTGGATGAACCACAACATCCTCCACGGCCCGGATCCGAAAGAGGGTCCACAAGAGTTCGGTGAGACAGAGCACGGTTTTAGCGTTTTATGCAGTTCTCTGATAAGACCTAAGTTTATCCAAACCATCACTTCACTCAGACACCTGTTTCTTCCTGAAGCAAAATCAGACTCACACACGCATTCATGTCACAACATTCTCAATCTTCATAAATTCACCAGAAGGTCTATTTGAGCAAGAACAGCATATAAACTGTTAAAAGATTGTCCCACAAAGTTGCCAATGTGATTGTTATTTCCTGTTTGTCAATTTTCAAAATCATTAGTTTAATTTGAAGAATTAAAACTGTTAATCCTTCAAACTTGTTTCCTCATTGAACTGAAACACAGACACTCAGATATTATCGGCAGTTTATGGATGAAAACAACCTTTGAGTCTTCTGAACAATATAAAATTTGGTTATTGATTTATTAAAATTAATATTCCGAATTAATACGTAGCATGGTTTCTCTTTCATAAAAGAGCATAAATCCATAACGCTACATTTAATGGTGAGCCAAGCCAGTTTCGTCTAATTTAATGGCGAGCGTATCCAGTCTTCTATATCTGCGATATGTCTGCTTTCTTACATCTAAAAGCTACAAACAACGCTTTTCTCTGTGTTTCACTTTGATGTCTTATTTTGAAATTAACCGGAAATTGTTCCGCTGAAGTCACTCTTCCGGGAGACGTCCGGGTGATAACTTGACGGGGAAGATCTCCGATCTCAAATTGACCGCAAATTACAGACCTAACTTTGATTTATCCCATCTTCGCCTTCGGAGCGAACGTGTGAGTTGTGCTTTTGACTCAATTCTGTCCATTTTGACGTGCCGCCGCGTCTCTAGTCTAACCTCAGGTCGGAAAGCTACGTTTCCGCTCTGACCATTGCTGGGTGAGCTACCGTGAGCAGCTTATCCTCAGTTCCTAAAATTATCAATAAATTCTCCGAACCTCAGAACCGAGACTAAATTCTCGGACACCTTTCGTCTCAGTGTGTTGACACTGTGGGCGAGCTATTGTGGAAAATATCTCCATTGCATGGGCGACTTATAGAAACCGAATCTGAACGGAATGCTCGGTGACTCCTACCGTAGCTTGATTGCTAGGTAAACGTCGTAAAGCGAAGCATGGCCGTCACGCGTTACTGCATTCAGATTGCGTGCGCTTTTTAAACGGAATGCTCGGTGACTCCTACCGTAGCTTGATTGCTAGGTAAACGTCGTAAAGCGAAGCATGGCCGTCACGCGTTACTGCATTCAGATTGCATGCGCTTTTTAGACGGAATGCTCGGTGACTCCTACCGTATCTTGATTGCTAGGTAAACGTCGTAAAGCGAAGCATGGCCGTCCCGCGTTGCTGCATTCAGATTGCGTGCGTTTTTTTAAAGTCCCGTTAGATTGTCAAACCATTTCTGACACAGTCAGTCTGTGTCCTCACAAAACCCGCATTGGCGGTGGTTCTTGTAAATCGCTACGGTGTGTAGAATCTACATTTTGCTACGTTTGTCCGTCTAATAGCATCTCGGCAGCGTAGGGTTTATTATTTTTTTATTATTTTATTTTGGACCGGTGATCGGGTCGGCTTTCACAGCCTCCATCGCTCGGATCCATGCCTTTTTCTTCCATCTTGTGAAGTTGTGTGTATTCATTTCTCTATCAACAATTCCTTGTTTTACCCTGTGTCATAAAGTTAAGTAGGCTACGGACAGTCCTTGTTTGTGTGAGACATATTAAGGAATCTGCCCGGAGTTTTACGTCGGCTCAGAAGGTAAAAACGCGAGTTGCTCTGAACTTAATGGGAGATGGACGAGACACGACAAAATCTTTCTTGCACTGTTACACCTGGTGTAAGGTTCTCTGACGTTCTGCTTCCAGAACATGCCATGACGCAGGAGACTGTTCACCGGCCGAGCATCGCTGGTCCCTCCGCCCGCCCGAACGGGCCCGTTTTAGGCGGGTGCCGCCGGTCGGGAGCAGTGGGGACTAGTGGCTGCGGTTCGGTGCCAGCTGCACTGGGTCGGAGGTGGTTCTGGTCTGCAATTCATGACGTGAATTCATGCAACATGCTGTTTACAGTCATAACGCTTTTTCTTTACTTTTATTTCTTCCAGGGGGTCAAAAACCCACCATCAACATCAAGGTTTGAAATAAACAACACTTTCTCTGCTGCTTTTAAGCTGAATAAATCTCTTGAGCCTATGGTTAACCTCTCTGACAAACAGGTTGTGCTTAACCCTTTGTTTCCTGATGCTTCTCCTCTGTCATCCATGTTAAAGGCTGAACATCTCTCCAGCATGGGTGTGAAATCTTCAGGCTGTGACCCACCGCTTCAGTCAGAGGTCTGTTTTACTCGTCAGTCCGCCTCATGCACAAACCAGCTTCTTTATCGGGGCGTGATGGAAAAGTCAGCCGCCGTGAAACACTTGTGGTCTCCGGACGGAGCTACCATGCCATTTAAGGGGTTTGTGCCCGGACATCTTGACCTTTATGTGAATGACCTTGTCACTTTTCAGTTTGTGACCTCTGCTAATACGGTGGCCAATTCTTTTCTCCTTTCACAGGGGTGTGACTTAGTCTCGGGCCTCTGTGCTCTCTTTCCTGTGATTTCTCTTACAGGTGACCACGACGACACAGAAAACCCAGCGGTTTCCAGCAGTCCTGTGGTCAGTGGCGATATTAAAGGTGGCTCGGTGGTTGCTGCGCACACCTCTCTCACGGGCTCGGGAAGGCAACCCGGCCCGGGAGGTGTAGGTGCGTGCAGTGATGCTATGCTCGGGGCCCCTCCTGACAAAGGGGGGGTGCTGAGTGGCTCTGAGTTTTCCGTTGCGGACTTCAACCGGTTCGGGGGAACGCCTCCTCCGAGCGGGCGGGTCATTGCAGAAATCGACACTGACCTTCCAAGAATTCGGCTGATAACATTGAGCTCCCACCCGGAGTTAGGTGCTGCACCTTCTACGGGGCGGAGTTCTAGTCAGTCTGTAAATACTCTGGTTAAACCGGGTTTTTCTGATTCAGTGTGGGAACCTCCATCATTCTTGGGAATAAAGTATTCTTAGCTTCAGTTTTCAGGACAGACCATGTTCCTAAAGCTAGTGTCATGTCTGTATCTGATTCTACACACAGCAAGGTTTGCTTTGACACCCGTGACACAACCATCCTTGGATCACTCCTTTTCAGAACCTCCAAGTCCAACACCTCCAGGTCTTTGGACATCTGAACACCTACTCTTTCAGCACGATCCAGGTGACACTGTGCATCTTCTTGGTATTAGGGCTTTTAAGAGCTTAAGAACTGTTTGTTATGCTTCTCCTGTCTCACAGACATGGCATAGGTTTGAGCAACAAAAGGGGGGTGGAGAGCCTCCTCCTGCTTTGCGAGCATCATTTTCGCATTTCCAGTTCACTACTATTTCTGATCACAACAAAGTCGCCTCCGTAAAGCTGCAACACAACTTTGAGCAGGTAAAATCAGGTTCTGATCTAACAGCTAAACCATCAGCTTCGCTCCAGTTCCAAACGGAACCCTCAGGTAAATTCAAACAAGTTTCCCTGTGGGTTCGTAACACAAGATACAAACAGTTTGATAACCAAATCGCTTATGAGCCTGCTCCCACAGATACGTCCAAACTCGTGTCTCTGTGGGTCCGCAATACCAGATTCAAAACTCTATTCTGACCGACTCTATTCTGACCGGATTCTTTTCCACTGACTGGTGGACCGTTACAAATTCTCTCGTTTGTGGGATGAATTTTTAACAAATGTGATATCCTTTGAGTTTTTTTTTCAGGTTACCTGCCTCCAGCCAGGGTCCTGTTACTAACTCACATTTTTAGGGATTACTAACCTACTGATTTACATTTTTAGAGCTGATTTACATCTCTATCTTTTTGTTAGTGCTTTGTGTAGCATGGTTATATTTGATTACAAATTTAATTTTATTTTGTTACTATTTCCCTTAAAGGGCCACAAGCCAATTTGCCCTTCATTTTCATGATTATTTCCTTTATATATATGCCTTTAATTAATGCAGCCTGCTGAGTTTCACATATCAGATAGGATTTGCTTTCTTTTATTTGTGTTTTCTCTGCATCACGTTTTTACATGACATGTAGAGCAGGGTGCAGTACATTTCTTCTTTAGATAATTCACAAAAGGCATCCACATTTTCCCAGAGGCACCCATAGATAGGTTTTGATTGATTTCTTTGTTTTGCATCAAATGCTATCTATCGTGTGGGCTGTCTCACTTTGTCTCCTTCTCCGAGCTCGTATGGACTACATCCCATCAGAGGGGTCGTCTTCACCATCCTTCAACTGGTTTCCTGTCGCATGGGGCTTCGGTCGTGGTTCGAGCGGTGTCGAGGTCGTCACTGGACTTCGCCTGGACTACGCCTGGGGAACACATCACCTGCCCAGCTCCGTGTGGCATACGAGCTGCTTATCCTTTGAATACCTTTGCATTATTGCTGATGAAAATTAACTGCTATTGAAATAGCTCTGCTTTCAAGATTCCCTAAGTGGATTACTTTACAATGATTGCAACAGTTTTGGCCTTAATCATCTGATCAGGATAGACTCCCTTTTACACGAGACCTGTGGTGACGCTTCATCGTTCCTGCCTTCATCTGGGATGTCTACCTTCACGAGTACATCACGTTATTGTGGTTGTGACGTCAGGTGGCCTCTGCTTGACCTCCATGTCGTCACAAAAAGGGGGGAATGTAACATGAGGAAATATGGGTTTTCTGTCACAATGGTGGTGTTGGACGCAGCTGGGTCATAGCTGGGTCGCTGAGAACTTTCACCCACAGATTAAGACCTGAACGCCAGCGAGTCGGGGAGGAAACCATAACATCTGCCACCTGCAGTCTACCAGAAGATGTGTTTACATGAGTTGTACCCAGACCAAGTCAAAACATAAAGTTTAAACTTCTTTTTCTTGATTTTAATGTTAAAATAACCATTATCATTTTGCCCATTATAAATGTGTTTAATCAAATGAATGACTAGTATGCTTTGGGGTAATTATAATGGATTAATGAATCCACACTTAAGTAGATAATGTTGAATGTGTGGTACTGACCTTCACACTCAAGCACACAAACATTCACACACACCCACACACATCTGCCCACAGTAAAGTCCAGACACATTTGATGACGCACATGTTTTGCTTTGAGAAGAGAGGTTTTTGGTAAGTTTTCAGTTTTATGGAGTTCGTGTTGGACAACGGGAGAGAACAGACCTGAAAACCAAAGGGGGGGCAGAGCCTGTTGGCTCGTTCTTCCCCCCTTTCACGCTGTTTCTGCCAAGCCAGGCAGAATAGCTGAATCGCGACTTCTAACGAAGACTCATTACCGAGTCTTTTGATTTCTGAGTGAATTAACTTAAGAAAGCGCATCGATAAAACGCTCTACCATCCACGTGTACCGAGGGCAACTCTGGACCGGTTCCGTTCGACACCTACGTCTCCTGTCAGCCGCCGGTGTCATCTGGATGAACCACAACATCCTCCACGGCCCGGATCCGAAAGAGGGTCCACAAGAGTTCGGTGAGACAGAGCACGGTTTTAGCGTTCTATGCAGTTCTCTGATAAGACCTAAGTTTATCCAAACCATCACTTCACTCAGACACCTGTTTCTTCCTGAAGCAAAATCAGACTCACACACGCATTCATGTCACAACATTCTCAATCTTCATAAATTCACCAGAAGGTCTATTTGAGCAAGAACAGCATATAAACTGTTAAAAGATTGTCCCACAAAGTTGCCAATGTGATTGTTATTTCCTGTTTGTCAATTTTCAAAATCATTAGTTTAATTTGAAGAATTAAAACAGTTAATCCTTCAAACTTGTTTCCTCATTGAACTGAAACACAGACACTCAGATATTATCGGCAGTTTATGGATGAAAACAACCTTTGAGTCTTCTGAACAATATAAAATTTGGTTATTGATTTATTAAAATTAATATTCCGAATTAATACGTAGCATGGTTTCTCTTTCATAAAAGAGCATAAATCCATAACGCTACACAGAACAGATACAGGCAGACCACGAGAGCAGCCATAACGGTGCTCATTTCAATTAGATGAAGAGGGGATTACATGAGTAGAGTTGGGGGAGGGAAAAAAAGGGCAAACCAGAGTTACTCCCGGCAGGGAGTAGCTCTACTATGCAAAAAAACACCGCAACATATAAGCACGAACGTCAAAGTTCACAACATGAGACAACGATGGGGTGGGGGGGTGGTGGGGGGGTGGGGGGGGGGCTGGGATCCTGATTCCATAGCGGGAGCAGCCCGTGTGGCGCTCAGCCAACTGTATCCACAGGTGGATGGGAGGTCATGGGAAAGGGCGCAGAGCACACTGAGTTCCTGCATTTTGATGACCTCGCTAGGCAGAGACCACAATCTGAAGGCCAGGTTTTCACAGCATCTGTCTGCATTCCTTCCATCGTGGGGGTTGTTGCAGCAGCTCCAAGGCTGCTTAGGCGTCAGATTGGATAACAAGACTTTGTTTGGGTCAGGCAGAGATAATTTTCCTCTCTGCCTTAAAGTCTGTATTGATCATTCAAGTCCTCCAGTGAAGCCAATTCACGTATTAAACATCTCCACACCGCCCAGTGACCCTCTCCGAGATGACATCCATCTTGCGCTCTAATACCGGCAATGCAGCAAGGACATTTCCAGCTTACGGTTCACCTCGAGTAACGTCCCAGTCTGTGAAGCATCCACCCGGGCGGTGCTTGCCATGGGTGCGGGTCGCACTCCAATCGCTCCCGAATTCCCAAATTTCCAGAAAACCAGATATCCTCCCACTCCAATCAGAAGAAATCCAGTGATCATCAGGCCAAATATCCACATATATTCGACGTCCTCAATGGACAGCTGAGAGAGACAAACGATCCTCCAGACCATCCAGGAATCGAGCGCATATCCCGCTGAGTGTGTCCTTTGAGGGTAAGTGGGAGCTCCCTCCTCCGTTCTCATAGTGGAAAAGATCTTATCAATCGCGTTGAATTACCAATTAATTAAATACATTTCTAAAAAATAGGGATTTCCAGGAGAAATGCAGAGAAGTGCTCTGTAGGCAGACGGGACAAAGAGCCTTGGGGAAAAAGGTAAGGGAGCAAAAAGGGAAACGTCTGTACTCTGCAAGTGCCAGAAGAGAATTCCATTTGTTTAGAAGTAGAACTCTGTTGCATGTTTTCTGACTGGTTCTAGAAAGAGGAACCACATCACTTCCATGTTGGCTCAGTTTCACTGGCTCCTGGATTAGGGTCAAGAGTAAGTAAAGTAAAGTAAGTAAATTTAATTTATATAGCAATCATCACATACAATCACAAAGTGCTTCACACTGATTAAAAATTAAACAAAACTAACCATAAAGTCATAAAATCATAATGATCTTCAAACTGAAATAAATTAAAATCAGAAAAAACAGTCATGAAATTATAAAATACTATAAAAACAAATGAAAAATGATTACAAATTTGAGTTAGAAAATAAGAAAACAAAAGATTTCGGTAAAACCTGCTTTAAATAAAACGGTCTTCAGCTGTTTTTTAAAAGTGTCCATACTGTCACTGCTACGATAGGATAAAACAAGATCATGCCCAAAACAGGGTGCAACAGCCTGGAAGGAGCGATCACCTCGACTTTTATATCTGGCCTTTGAAACTTCTAGAAGGTTCTGGTGTGTGGACCTGAGGGTTTGGGATGGAGCATATGGCTTTAACAATTCAGTAATATAGGGATGATCTCAAGGGTGTCAGTTTGTTTATAGAATTGCTGGGGACAATAACCATACACTTGAGTGGGGTTTAAAAATTGCGGGGGACAATCATCAAATATGTAAGTATATATTAAGTATTCATCAGTTTTTAATGTTTCACTCCAATATGCACAGTAGTGTATTGACAGTTATTAAAAATCCTGTTTTGTTTTGTTTTTCCAACGGCACTGAAAACCCCCATTTGCCTGTAAGCAAGGTGGAATCTTTACATCCATATAGCTAGCCTAGCAAAAAAGATCTTGTATTATTATTATTATTATTATTATTATTATTATTATTATTATTGATGTATTATATTAAATATATCATTGTTATATTATTTGTGACTGTCAAATTAGATTTTCAGAGAAAAATACTCATCTTTACATCAGGCTCCACTCTCTGGTCAACTCCACGCTCCGGCAGCCTAGCTGTATGTGAACTACCAGATTCATTGACTTCTTTAAAAGTTAAGAAGGTGAAGTAGGTGAAAAGTAGGTGTCCATCAACCATGTTGAAAAGAAAGAACGCAACCGATATCAGATGGTTTTTCGGCAAGAAAAAATGAGCTGTAAGTGCATCCCTACAAAAAAGACTAAGATATCCAGTTTCATCATTTGATATTGACTTACTTAGCAGTAGATAAAAGGGCAATGTTTCTCTCATCTACTGGTAACAGTTAGCTTGCAGCAATAACGGTTAAAAACCATGCACTTTATGCTAGGTGACCAAACCTTTTTCCGTGACATTTTTGCTTTTATGTCCTATTAGGGGCATCTGGGAAGATTTCATAAATTGATAAAATGTCTAGGTTTTCATCGTTTTTCAGAAGACTTGAACTTACAATACATAAACAAGACAGCACAGCCCTGTGATGTACTCCCGACCTGCTCAAGTGGATGGTTCTGAATGAGGTTGCAGTAGCCTAAAATACAGGTGTTGGACCTGTCACTGAGTGGTGCTGTTTAACTAATTCCAATTAGGTCCCCATCTAGCAAATGGTCCTATTATGTGAAATGACCCATCCATAACTAAAAAGTATTAGAGGGATACAATTTTAGGTTGAAGTGAGTAAATGAATAAGTCTCAGAATAAGGTGTTGGGTTGTAAAAGTGACTGGGAAACTAGATTCTAACAGTGTGACTCTAACCCCCTTACATTACCTTAACCAGCCCTTCCATAGCCTTGCAAAACTATGTTAACCTTAAATCAGATTTTGATGACACTGGTAATACAAAATAGCACTAAGTTTGTTCAGTAGGAATCAGCACCCCTAGAGTCACATGTGTCTTATTTCCACAGAATATTTTTTTCTTTTTACTTTTTTACTCATTAGCCTAGCTGAAGTCATTTATATTTTCTAACCACATAGAACCGGCACACAAAAGCTTTCTTCAAGTAAACAGAACACAAGTTCAGTGTTTCAGGAATGTGTCTCCTTTTTGTATGCCAACTAATGGACACCCAAAGAACTTATACATTTCCAACAAAACCAAAAATAATTAAGTCAAAGTCAATGCTGCATTTGCAAATAAAAAAAATCAAATCACACAAGTTGTAATGTTTATTTGAATACCCTTTTTCTATCAGGAACAGCATGTGACAGAGGAAGATGAAGACATGCAGGAACAGGCAGCTGAGAATGCAGAGGTGAAATTCACATCAACAGAAAATCAGATATAACCTTACAGTAAATATGAAACCAACTTTGGTATACTCTTACAGCAAGCACAATCACTGGATGAAGAAATTGAGAGAGTTGAAACAAGCTCAGATCAGATTCAGCAGGTGAGGGTTCAGGAAGCAAACATATGCAAGTTTTATCCATCTGCAGGACTGTGCATTGGTTCATCTTGTACAAAAATGTGGAAGGAAAACAGATTTGATTAAAACAACAGCTATATCTACAACACTACAACTCCTACTAAAATACAAACAGAAAAAAAAGTTGTGTATATAACATAATGGCAATAGAAGACCAATTGGAGAACACTGTAGAATCAAAACATTTCTGGGAACTATGTAAAGAAACTAATGACAACTGAATAATTACATTATAGGTCGAGCCATCAGCTACTGATGCGGGGAAGCAGGATAACCCTCCACATGAAAACCAGGAGGGTCCAAGTTCCCCATACCAACCAGCAGCACAGCTAATTGAGCCACAAACTCTGCCGAACCGCACTCTTCACTTTCAGGAGAGCTGGTTCAAAATCTTTCCCTGGCTCCATTACAGTCCTAAAATAAAATGAGTTTTGTGCTTCTACTGCCCAACTGCAATTAAAAAGAACATTTCAACAATGGCACACAAAAAAACACAACATTCCTTTATTTCTCCGGGGTTCAGAAACTGGAAGAAGGCTAGGGAGTCATTTGACAGGCACGCTGGTAGTAGGGCACACATAATTTCTGTACACACACACACACACACACACACACACACACACACACACACACACAGATCTGTCAGAATGCAACTATGCAGCATCTCAGAAAGTGCACGGGAGAAGGCCAGGTCAGCACTGATAGAGATTGTTAGTTCAGTGAGGTACCTTGCAAAACAGGGCCTAGCTCTCAGAGGTCATGACAAAGATGATGGAAACTTCAAGCTGCATCTGGATGAGAAGGCTTAGAATGACCTCAATCTGGCTGCAGAAGAGTCATTCCAACACAAGTCCTGCGTGTCAAAATGAGCTGCTGATGTTAATGAGCAACAACCTTATCAGACAAATAACAACTGAAATCCATGGGTTACCTGTACTGCAGTTCTCTGATAATGGATGGGACCCAGGATATATCTGGCACCGAACAGATTTCAATATGCCTCCGGTATGTTGATGATGGCCTGGAGCCTAAGGAGGACTTTGTTGAACCGTACGAGGCTTCTTCAACAACTGGCGAACACCTTTTAAAAATCGCCTCTGATGTGCTGCTCCGTTTAGACCTGCCTTTCTCAGGTCTACGTGGACAGACCTATGATGGAGCAGCCAACATGTCGGGGCACCTGTCAGGGTTACAAGCTCAGATTAGAAGAGAGCAACCATTGGCCACCTTTGTCCACTGTGGCCCACACTGTGTGAACCTTGTCACATAGGCTGCATGTACCTCCACACCTGTGATCAGGGATGCTCTGCACTGGGTACACGAGCTGGGCTGCTTGTTCGCTCAGTCTGGCAAATGCAAAACTATATTCAAAGACATACAGGTGCTGGCCAGTAAATTAGAATATCATCAAAAGGTTGAAAATATTTCAGTAATTCCATTCAAAACGTGAAACTTGTACATTATATTCATGCAATGCACACAGACCAATGTATTTCCAATGTTCATTACATTTAAATTTGATATTTATAGGTGACAACCAATGAAAACATCAAATCTGGTATCTCAGAAAATTAGAATATTCTAAAGGCCAATGAAAAAATGTTTGTTTCTCTAATGTTGGCCAACTGAAAAGAATGAACATGAAAAGAATGTGCATGTATAGCACTCAATACTTAGTCGGGGCTCCTTTTGCCTCAATAACTGCAGTAATGCGGCGTGGCATGGACTCGATCAGTCTGTGGCACTGCTCAGGTGTTATGAGAGCCCAGGTTGCTCTGATAGTCGTCTTCAGCTCCTCTGCATTGTTGGGTCTAGCGTATTGCATCCTCCGCTTCACAATACCCCATAGATTTTCTATGGGGTTAAGGTCAGGCGAGTTTGCTGGCCAATCAAGGACAGGGATACCATGGTCCTTGAACCAGGTGCTGGTGGTTTTGGCACTGTGTGCAGGTGCCAAGTCCTGTTGAAAGGTGAAGTCTGCATCCCCATAAAGTTGGTCAGCAGCAGGAAGCATGAAGTGCTCTAAAACTTCCTGGTAGACGGCTGCATTGACCCTGGACCTCAGGAAACAGAGTGGGCCAACACCGGCAGATGACATGGCACCCCACACCATCACTGACGGTGGAAACTTTACACTGGACCTCATGCAACGTGGATTCTGTGCTTCTCCGCTCTTCCTCCAGACTCTGGGTCCTTGATTTCCAAAGGAAATGCAGAACTTGCTTTCATCAGAAAACATAACTTTGGACCACTCAGCATCAGTCCAGTCCTTTTTGTCCTTGGCCCAGGCGAGACGCTTCTTGCGCTGTTTCTTGTTCAAGAGTGGCTTGACACACGGAATGCGACACCTGAATCCCATGTCTTTCATGAGTCTCCTCGTGGTGGTTCTTGAAGCGCTGACTCCAGCTGCAGTCCACTCTTTGTGGATCTCCCCCACATTTTTGAATGGGTTTGTCGTCACAATTCTCTGCAGGGTGCGGTTATCCCTAGAGCTTGTACACTTTTTTCTACCACATTTTTTCCGTCCCTTCGCCTGTCTGTTAATGTGCTTGGACACAGAGCTCTGCGAACAGCCAGCTTCTTTAGCAATCACCTTTTGTGTCTTGCCCTCCTTGTGCAAGGTGTCAATGATTGTCTTTTGGACAGCTGTTAAGTCAGAAGTCTTCCCCATGATTGTGGTGCCTTCAAAACAAGACTGAGGGACCTTTTAAAGGCCTTTGCAGGTGTTTTGAGTAAATCAGCTGATTAGAGTGGCAGCAGGTGTCTTCTATATTCAGCCTTTTCAGAATATTCTAATTTTTTGAGATACCAAATTTGGAGTTTTCATTAGTTGTCACTTATGAATATCAAATTTAAATGTAATGAACATTGGAAATACATTGGTCTGTGTGCATTGCATGAATATAATGTACAAGTTTCACGTTTTGAATGGAATTACTGAAATATTTTCAACCTTTTGATGATATTCTAATTTACTGGCCAGCACCTGTATGCATATCAAAAAAAAGGCTCCATCACTTCCATCAAGCCTCTGTGTGCCACTAGATGGACTGTGCGCACACCAGCAATAAGAGCAGTCCTGACTCAGTATGAATCCATCCTGGCTGCCCTGGAAGAGACGGCATCTACAAATCTCACTGACAGTACTGCTTCTAAAGCTAACATCCTACTTGACAGACTGGAAAAGGGCAACGCAATTGTTGGCCTTCTCCTGGGACAAGAGATCCTCTTGATGTTGGAGGACCTGAACTTGAGTCTGCAGGCAAGAGGAAAAACCATCAGTGGAATGGTGGAATACACCAGACAGGGCTTTCTCTCTTTGAGGACTAATGATAGTTTCATGGGCATCTATGGTAAAGCTGTGAAACTTGTTGCAGACTTGGACCTCCAGCCAGTACACCCACCTCATGTCCGAATGCCATCCAGAAAATATGGTGGTCCAGCCAAGCATCATACTCCTGCGACACCAGAGGAGTATTTCCGGGTCCATTTTTTCAGTGCCATTGACACAGTGATCACCCAGCTACATGATTGCTTTGACCAGCCGAGCCTGGAAAATCTGAACAAGCTGGAGGAGCTGCTGATTACTGGTAAGACCAATGATATGGTGAGCCTGTACCCAGAACTGGACCTGCAAAAAATGCAAATTCAGTTGGCAAAGTTTAAAGCAAATCATACCTACGACGGTTGAAGACCTGGCTGAGGTCAACAATGACACAGCTGAAGCTCAACAGCACTGCAGTCTGCCAAGTCCACAGGGATAGACTGAAGAGGCTAGACAAAAGAGAAATAGCCACAGCTTTCATTGGTACATCTGAGAGACGGGTGTACATCTTTGGCCACTATTAACTCTCCACCTGACTTGGAAAAATACATAAAACACATACAATCCACTTGTTTACTGTCTCAAACACACTCACAGCATTTGTTATTAAGATTACCATTCTAACATCAAGTTCAATATGCATTTAATTTTGGTCCACCTATTGTTTTTTTTTTGCTACATTTAATTTAATCGTTCTACTGTTCTCAGTGTGTTCACAATCTGTATTTGTGTGCATTCAAACCTAATGGTTACTTCCCTTTTCATTTTTGTTCTGTTAATAAAACAGTTAACTGATCCATCTTTGAATAAAGAATCCCTCATATTATTTTAAGCTTCAAAAGACTCATCAAGGCATCCAAATAAAATAAAGGGAGAGCGGCTAATGTAACGGATCACCTTCTGACCTGTTCAGTAGATGTGGTCTGGACAATTTGTGTCATCACTCTTGTGCTCCACATTCACCAAAAAGCAGATTATGGCACCAGATTATTCTTCAACATGCTTTTATTGGCAGCAATCTGGTCCAACAGAACACACACAATTTCCATCGGTGTGTGTTATCCAGCCTCACACAGGGGTCTCCACCAACTTACGTGTTACTATGCTGCATGATAGTATAGTGGTTATTATTGTTGTGAATATTTAATTTGGAAGCTTTATTTACTATTTTGGATTCATCAATAAATCCGTAAATATGGAAATATTCACCGATTTATTAATTAATTAGGATATTAGGATATCCACGGGGCACCATCCCCTTTTTACAGGGGAAGATGAATCCACACCTCTTATCAATCTTGTCTAAACTTTCCGTGAAATCTTTAACGAGCTGCAGTTAATTTATATCAACACAAAAAAACTCACTTGAGACAAATGCTTAATTGGCAATAACATTTATTAACTAATATACCCACTTCAGCTCCTTCCAAAGTGTTAGCTAATTACTATCCACCAACTTATTTTATCAAATGAATAACAAGTAATTAAACAATAAGATGATAATGTGAAATAATCTGAGGTGGTGTAACCCCAAGATGGAGAGGTCTTGAAACAAAATGGCTGGTCCCTTTGTCTCAGGGAGCAAGGACCAGACCGGCATGTGTGGGGGTAGCCTGTCCCCACCAACACTAAAAAACAAGTATGTGTGTGTGTGTGTGTGTGTGTGTGTGTGTGTGTGTGTGTGTGTGTGTGTGTGTGTGTGTGTGTGTGTGTGTGTGTGTGTGTGTGTGTGTGTGTGTGTGTGTGTAAGTTTTCTCAAACTTTCAAACAGTCAGTGGCTTAACTTTCACCTTAACTCAATCAAAAATACACTTCCAAAACACGTTCAATCACAGTAAAACTTAACCAGAACACTTCAAATTGTTTGTTTAAGCTCAAGGAAAAAAACAAATCACTTCAAAGGCAAATGAAATATTTAACAGAGTCGGTCAGCCTGGCCACAGCTGACAAGACAACAACCCAGATATTAAACAAAAACAAACAGACCTTACTTGGATTGTCTGATGGCGTTTTTGGTACGGAAGAAGAAAAACGGGTGCTTCTTTAAAACGGTCTCGCGCGTTGACCGCTTGTTCGGGCTAAGAGAAAGTAATGGGAGAAAAA